GGCAAGCGTCGGTATGATACACTACACTACGATGACGCTTTGCACGAGGTCAGAGAACGTGAGATTTTCGCTGAAAAGGAGCGCAAGAAGGACATGCAACGAAAGCGACGTAGAGAGAAATCTATGCAAGTCACGATCGAACAGAAGGAAGCTGCCCTGGCAAAGGCACTTGCTGCCGAAGACGATGCCGAACGCGCGAAATACTTACGGGATGCGGAACGTGCTAATAAGAAGGCACAGCAAACTAAGTTGATCTTGCAAAAGGGTATCAAGGGTCCGGCACGCAACTTGGCTCCGCTTGAACTGAACCTGGAGGGCGGTACCATGTCAACATTCCAGGCTACGGAACTGGAAGCCAGCAACAAGGCTAAGAGCAAAGGTCGTAGCGGTAATCGCCCGAAGAAGTCTAAGGAGCAAAAGCAGGCAGAGAAGGACTCTGCCATCGCTGCTCAAGCTGCTCTGGATGCAGGCGAGGAGTTACCCACAAAGGAAGAGACCAAGATCCGAATTAAGTTGAGCAAAGCCTCGTCTAGGGAACCGAAGGAGAAGGACAAGGAAGCCAAAGACGCTGCTACAAAGGAGCAGAAGGAGAAGGAGAAGTCGATTGAAGAACCTGCTCCTAACCCTCTTGAGTCTAAGTTCCAGTCTAAAGGTTACAACCAGATCTATGATCAGATCTGGCGCGACCTTGCACGCAAAGATGTTCCGAAAGCATACAAGCTGGCTTGTGACTCTTATGCCACGAAGGCCTCTAACCTCAAAAAGACTGCAATATTGGCTTCAAAGGAAGCTAAGCGATGGCAGCTTCGTACCAACAAGGGTACCAAGGATCTTCAAGCCCGTGCCAAGCGATGTATGCGCGATATGATGAGCTTCTGGAAACGTAACGAACGTGAAGAACGTGACTTGCGTAAAGCGGCAGAGAGACAAGAGCTTGAGAATGCCCGCAAGGAGGAAGCTGATCGTGAAGCCGCACGTCAGAAGAGAAAGCTCAACTTCTTGATCTCGCAAACCGAACTGTACTCTCACTTTATTGGCAAGAAGATCAAGACGGACGAAGTGGAGCGTAGCACTGATAACCCGGATATCGCACCAGATGCGAACGCTCTATCCAAACCATCTAATGTTGATATTGACGAACCGACAAATGCACCTGCCGGCAAGGTTACAGATTTCAGTCAGCTGAACTTCGATGCCGAGGACGAGGAGACACTGAGACAAGCTGCTATGGCAAATGCCCAGAGCGCCATTGCGGAAGCTCAGCAGAAAGCACGGAGCTTCAACAAGACCGACAACGATATGGATGAAGATGGCGAGATGAACTTCCAGAACCCGACCGGTCTCGGCGATGTTACGGTTGAGCAGCCGAAGCTGCTGAATTGTCAACTGAAAGAATACCAATTGAAGGGTCTGAACTGGCTTGCTAACCTTTACGAACAAGGTATCAACGGTATTCTAGCCGACGAAATGGGTCTTGGAAAGACTGTCCAGTCTATCTCTGTCATGGCCTACCTAGCTGAAGTACATGACATTTGGGGTCCTTACCTTGTAGTCGCACCAGCATCTACTCTCCACAACTGGCAACAGGAGATCGCGAAGTTTGTCCCCGAATTCAAGGTCCTCCCGTACTGGGGTACCGCTGGTGATCGAAAGGTGCTGCGCAAGTTCTGGGATCGCAAGCATAACACTTATCGGAAGGATGCTCCTTTCCACGTCCTAGTTACATCCTATCAACTCGTGGTGTCAGACGTTTCGTACTTCCAGAAGATGCGTTGGCAGTACATGATCCTCGATGAAGCGCAAGCTATCAAGAGCTCCCAAAGTTCACGTTGGAAGTGTCTGCTTGGCTTCCACTGCCGTAACCGACTCCTTCTCACGGGTACTCCCATTCAGAATAACATGCAAGAACTCTGGGCCCTTCTACATTTCATCATGCCTTCCCTGTTCGATTCACACGATGAATTTAGCGAATGGTTTTCGAAGGACATCGAGTCTCACGCTCAAAGCAACACGACCCTTAACGAGGACCAGCTTAGGCGGCTGCATTTGATCCTCAAACCGTTCATGTTGCGTCGTGTAAAGAAGCATGTGCAAAAGGAGCTTGGCGACAAGATTGAACTCGATGTGTTCTGCGAACTCACCTACCGACAGCGCGCTTACTACAGGAACTTGCGAAATCAGATCAGTATCATGGATCTGATTGAGAAGGCGACTCTTGGAGATGACCAGGATTCTGGCACGCTGATGAACCTCGTTATGCAGTTCCGAAAAGTGTGTAACCATCCCGACTTATTTGAGCGTGCGGACACAACGAGTCCATTCTTCACAGGCTACTTTGCTGAGACTGCTTCGTTCGTTCGCGAGGGAAATAATGTCTCGGTCGGCTACTCTACTCGAAATCTCATCGAGTACAATTTGCCGCGCTTGGTCTGGACTGAAGGTGGTCGATTGCACAAAGCCGGGAAGGACAATGAGAAGGCTGGCTTCAGGAATAAGTATCTAAACCACCTTATGAATATCTGGACCCCGGAGAACATACGTGAAAGCACATCCGGCAATGAGGCTTTCTCCTTCCTCCGCTTCGCTGATGTCAGCCCCGAAGAAGCATACAAAGCTAGTCACCAAGGTCTTTTCTCGCGAGCTGCAGATCTAGTCAAGAAACAAAACCGACTTGGCCGAATGAACGTAATATACGACGAGGAGGGTGAAGAGAACTATACACCTACCCATGCGTTATTCCAGATCGCTGCTCGAACGGAACGCAAACACCTGGCTGAGATAACAAGCGAAGGTGTACTCGATAATCTCATGAACATTTCAAAGGGAACATGGCGGGATTCTGGCCTTGGTCGACTTGAACAAGCGGCCCTACCTGGTGCTTCTGCTCCTCCCATCGAGGTCTCATGCGAGGGTACTCGAGCCCCGATTGCTGAACGTGAAGATACGCTGTTTAACGCACAGATGCGCAAGATTTTGTACGGACCTAATTTGACGGAAGAGAAGGCTCTGGTATTACAGAAAACTCCGATCGAACGTTACCCACCGCCTGCGATGCTGCCTCAGCCTGACGGTGAGAAACGACGGTTCACGAATATCACCGTCCCCAGCATGCGTCGTTTCGTCACCGACAGTGGAAAACTTGCCAAACTCGACCAGCTACTATTCAAGCTGAAGGAGGAGGGCCATCGTGTACTACTGTACTTCCAGATGACGAGGATGATTGATCTCATGGAGGAATACCTTACGTACCGCAACTACAAGTACTGTCGACTCGACGGTTCGACGAAGTTGGAGGATCGTCGTGACACTGTCCATGACTTCCAGACGCGACCTGAAATCTTCGTTTTCCTACTTTCGACCCGTGCCGGCGGTCTTGGTATCAATCTTACATCTGCTGACACCGTCATCTTCTACGACAGCGATTGGAATCCTACTATTGATTCTCAAGCTATGGATCGTGCCCATCGTCTCGGTCAAACGAAACAAGTCACAGTCTACCGTCTCATCACGCGCGGTACTATTGAAGAACGTATTCGCAAGCGCGCGATGCAGAAGGAGGAGGTCCAACGTGTTGTCATCCAGGGAGGTGGGGCTCGCGGCGTCGACTTTAGCGGTCGTCGTCCCCAGGAGAACCGCAACCGCGATATTGCCATGTGGCTTGCCGACGACGAGCAAGCCGAACTCATCGAACAACGCGAGAAGGAATTACTCGCAAGCGGCGAGCTCGAGAAACAGAACAAGAAGCGAGGTGGCAATAAGAGGAAGCGGGAGGCAGTCAGCTTGGACGAGATGTACCATGAGGGTAAGTCGCATTCTATATGGGTTTCATAATATCATGAGATCAAAGTACTAATTGTATGGTTTTAGGCGAGGGTCATTTCGATGATGGCAACAAGCCTTCTGGGACCGCTACTCCTGTCGAGGCCGGAGATACGAAGGTCGTCAAGAAGCGTAAAGGAGGCAGCAAGAAGGCCAAGACAACAAAACAACGACTTGCCATTGCTGATGGCGAGATCGACGTCTAACCTATTACTAAGGGTTATCACCTACACTACCATCAGGTCGTGAATCGTGCTTCTCGCAACAGAAGTCAAGGACCTTGTACAAAATAACAGGAATCGCGGCGTTATATTGGCATCAAATTTACATGCAGAGACGGGCTCTTGGTGGGAACGAACACACATATTCATAGAGCTAGCTAATTGTCGTATTGACAAGGGGAGGCGAGAGAAAGGTAGTGGCCAAAAATGTCGCACTAGGCGGCTAGACTTTGCAAAACCAAAACCGGATTGCTTTTTACCAAATTTCTTCGAGGACTAAGGGTTCGTTGTGTCGTTGTAGGATTACGATAGAGGGACCAAGTCAGCAATCAAATGTATGCCTGTTGAGGCATTGAATGGAAACTGAAGTGAGCTACGGTGATGGCACTGATTGCTGTGTCTTAGACTTATGCTGTCTCCGTGGCAGTTAGGTACCTAATCTAGGTACTTGTAGTATCCGTATGTGCTAGTGAATGCAACTGAAGTCATGACCATCTCATATCACTCTCTACCTGAGATGCAATAGGTTATGAATTGGGCAACAGTGGAGGTCTCTGTCACTCTTGGATCTTTCTGCCCAATGTCCAATTAATTCATCTCCCAATCATATTGGCTTCGGCGTCTTTGCCGTATGTGCAATTCTCTCCACACTGGTTCGTTTTCCCTGTAAATATCCTGGTAGACTTCGATTGTCTACCTAAAGTATTACTACCGAAAAGCGACAGGCGAATCGAATCGGCATTACTTGTCCTAGGTAGGTGCCTATTCGCCTATATACGGTATCTACCTACATACATACCCAGATCTCAAGTATTCCGCTTCATCCAGCCTAGTAGCAAAAACGAACACACAGAGCCCTAACTAACCCAACCCTTCCAACCCTACCAAAGTCAAAGTCAAAGCTCCCACAGCACACCCACCACTCCCATCAAGAATCACGCAAAAAATTGAAAGAAAAAGAGGCCACCCTGGGAGTCGAACCCAGAATCTCCTGATCACCTAGCTATATCAAGCACGTTTACGTATCGGCGCGAGATACCATGCAATGCTCGGTCGTAGTCAGACGCCTTAACCATTGGGCCAAGCGGCCTTTTGCCGGATAGAAGCGGACATCGTCTGGTTTTGTTTATGAACCAGGGGGGGTACCTACCATAGGCATATATGGTGGTGGGTAGTTGTGAAGAAGTTTGCGTCGCGATGTGGGTATGGTTCCGTACGCTAGGGGGTTAGTTTAGGTACCTAAAGTAGTTGAGCTCTGGTGGGAGGTAGGTAGGGCTGGGAGGAGGCTAATTCGAGACGAGTCGGACTTGAACAGTGGATTTTGGTTAATGCGCTGGGGAATCATCTCATGTGTTGTTGTAGCAGGTGAAGGTTGAGGGAGATTGGCTTGTCGCTATTCGCGCAGGTTAGAAGGTTACTACGCGGCGAGAGGATATGGCGATGATTTACTGTGATTGGGACATTCTAAGAGGGGGCTATATCCTCAGGATGTTTACATTACGCGTTTCTCCTGGAGAGATGCTCCGCACTACCTCTTGAAGGCTCTAGGACGTCTTGCCGTTGGCTTGATGGGGGGGGGGGGGGGCTCATTAAAGGAGCATCAACAGAGAAGCCTACCTAGCTGCCGACAGCCATCTATCTACTTACCCATTAAGCTTCCACAGCATGATAGAAGATGTCGAAAAATAGAAGTTAAAAACTAGACAGTCACTTATAACAATAGTCGCATGCGAAAGATATTTATTTCATCTAATCTATTCCAGTCCGCGAAAACCCAGCGCATATCGGCGCCGGCTTCTCGCAATTCACGTAGCCCCGTCTTAAAGCAAAGCTTTTCAAACCCTAGGCTGCGGCTCTATGCGTCGATGCCCAATCTATAGACCTCCGAGCCGCGACCACTATGTATGCATTCCTGGTTTCGTACTACGACAGCTTGAAGATCTGTCATGAGCAATGGCATTCGAACGGTCGGTCGGACCAAGTTCAGAGTAGCAAGGAAAATGTACTTAAACTGCTCCGGCAGCCAACATCTTCTTCCGCAAGTAGTTCTTGTACTCTCCTATTGTACCGTCCCATGGCTTGATCGTTCGGTTTTCGCACACTAAAATTTGCTTGGCAATTTTGTCGAGCAATCTATCCTATTTGTTAGCAGTTTATTTACAAAGGTTGGAGAAAAGATAATTCTTACCTAAAATCGTGAGAAACAACTATCACACCGCCGCTGAAGTGGTCGATGGCGTCTGCCAGGGCATCAATGGTCGGGATATCCAAACCGTTGGTGGGTTCGTCGAGGAGGAGCATGTTAGGTGAATCAATGGCAAGGAGAGCGAATACAATTCGACTCTTTTGACCCTCAGATAGGGTGCCCATTAGCGCAGTCTGGACGGGACCAGATACACCATATCTGCCAAGGGTTTGACGCCAATATTGGTAGTCTTGTGACTTTTCTCGGTACTTGTCGCGGACGAAGTCCAAAGCACTCTTGGTCAAGTCGAGTTGCTCGGCACTGTGTTGAGAGTACAGACCGAGCTTGAGATGTGTGTGACGACGGACAGATCCAGAAGTAGGAGAAAGCTTGCCTGTCATTAGGCGTAGGAGAGTACTCTTGCCGACACCGTTGGGGCCCACAAGAGCCGTTCGGGAGTCCATATCGAAACCAAGATCGATGTTGCGGTAGAGGTCGTCCTTTGCCTCGCCCGAGTACGAGAATGTGACATTGTCGAATGACAGGACAGGAGGAGGTAGCTTATCGACGTCGGTGAATCTGAACTTGAACTCCCTCTCCTCCTTGACTTCCTCGATAAGACCATCTGCAATCATCTTGTCGAGAATCTTCTGTCGGGATTTGGCCTGTCGCACCAAGTTGGCATAGGTACCAGCGCTGGCAATGAACTCCTTGATGTGCTTGATTTCCTCCTGTTGCTTCTTGTAGGCCGTCATCTGGTTGGTCTCCTGTTCCTTGCGGGTCTTGACATAAGAGTCGAAGTTACCACCGTAGTACATGAGCTGCTGCTTGCGCATATCAATCATGTTGGTGCACACTCCGTTCAAGAAATCCTGCGAGTGAGAAACTAAGACCAATGTTCGCTCCCACTTTTTCAGGTACTCCTCTAGCCACACGCAGGCCTCGAGATCCAAGTGAGCAGTCGGGTCGTCAAGAAGCAGTAAGGTCGGCTTGACGAACAGCGCTTTAGCAAGGGCAACACGCATACGCCAACCACCAGACATGTCCTTCGTCTTCTTGTGGATGGTTTCCTTGTTGAAACCAAGACCTGTCAGGATAAGAGAAGCACGGGTGGCGAAAGTCGAGGGATCCATCTTATCCATGTGCTGTTATGTTCAATTAGCATAAGTTAGGAAATCACGTAGAGGGTATCATACCTCATAAATATCCATTAGCACTGGGCTGTCAGGACCCTCGTCCTCGAGCAGCTGCTCTGCAAGTCTATCTAGACGATCCATCTCCTTTTCGGCCTCCTTGAGAACCCATTCCAGGGCACCCAGATCGGAGGGCGGGGCACCTTCGTTCAAGAGGTAGATATCAACGTGGTCGGGGATGGGGTATTCTCTCGCAGCGATAGCCTTGAGGAGGGTACTCTTTCCGCAACCGTTCTCGCCCAGTAATCCATATCGGCGCCCGAATGACAACTCAAGGTCAGTTTCGTTGAGGAGGACACGGCCGTGGAAGGTTAAACTGGCGCTGATAATCTTGACGTCCCTGCTAGTGGCTACGGAAGCCAACACACCAGTGGTGATACGGTCGGATAAGCCGTGCTTGTCTTTTTGGTCTGATAATGCTTTGACCTTCTCCATCTTAGTGTCGTCGGTTGCGGGAACGTCATCGAGATTGGGAGGAGTATCGTCACCGGCGACAGAACCAGCCGCGCTCGCATTCTTGGAAGCGGTCTTGGAACCAGCCTTGGACCTAGAGACGAGGGTCTTCTTCTCGCCCTTGCCCTCGGCAGCCTTCTTGGCGAGTCTCTTCTCTTTGGATGCGGAAACCATCTTGAAATTTTTTATCCTTTTGTCTATGACCGACCGGGGAAATGGTGATGGAGATGGACGAAATAATCGAAGAAATCGAGGAAAATGTACCCCGCTTAGGCTACTGTAATATTATTGATAGCAACCGCAAGTTGTTCGTTATGATAACGATCACAAGCGAATGTGACCGTCTTCTCGAGAGGATGAATGAGTGGGCAGTAATCACGAGAGGGAAACGACCTGTTTCCCAAAACTCGACAGTAATAGGAAACAAAACAAAAAAAGATTTATCCTCCGTAAACTTTTTTCGGGGTTGTTGAATTGTTTGGGAGTGGATTGGAAGTGGGAGGAATCTGCGCGGGGGCGATAAAAGTTCCTTACGCTTGTATCTTTGGGTTGTGGCTCGTTGGTGGGTTACTTGGTGGGGCTGTATAGTGGGGCACCGAAATTTTCGACCTTTCACAAGTAAAATCTTGTGCAATAATAATGGTTGTGGGACCAATGGGCCAATGGTTGCCTCAAGCCGTCACAAGATTCCGCCCAGCCAAAAGTAATAGCAGGTGGGGGCGGGTCCGTTTTCACTGCTGAAGGTTCCTCTTTAATTGTAAATCTGCTGACGTCAGAGTTGCTATTCTCTGAAGAAACTCTTGAAGCAACTCGTGATTAGCATTAATATTAAGGATTAAACGTGTGGCTGAAATCTTTTAAGGCAAGTCTTCATATCTCTATTAAAATAGGTATTCATCCACTCCATATCGCTTTGTTTATCATCGCCCATTGTTTGCTTATTTCTTTCAATACGCCCGACTCCGCACATTGTTAACCAGCATCCAAGACGCGTCTGACAGCGAAGCGACATGAAGTTTAACAGACGAGTACTTGGACTGTTAAGGGCAATGAAATAAAAGAGATTAGGAGGGAAGTGTTACCAATTGAACCGGAAGGTAACTGGACAGGAGTCTTCGTTGATATCACATCGGCTCCTTCACATTAGGCCACAGCCTTAGTATCACACCCCATCCGGCGAATCCAAGTAGACATCGATCGTCGCAAATCTATCAGTTCTCAGCCTCAGTTCTACTAAGAGCTCTAAAGCACTTCAAGTTCACTTAAAGTCAAATCGAAAATATTGCTAACCATAAGCTGGGCAAGGCGGGCTTGTAAGTAGGAATGAATATAGCTGACGATACTTATAGTATTACGCCATATTTGCACATCTCTATGTCTTTTTGACCTTTCTTGGACCCCTAACTAAGGTTGTTCTTGATGGAGAGCTTTGCTTCTTCGATATGAACTATTGTTCTTAAGCCCTAGTTCATCATGATCACCCTACTGCTGAAGGGTTCTAATCCCGAACGTCAAACTGGACATCTTCATATTAGGCAGCGCGTTCCTCAGTTATCAAGCAGATTTTCTTGCTCCTTGAATTCTAGAAGGTATGGTTAGTTCAAAGGCTTCCGCAACTACCGCGTCAACCTCTCATGACATGATTCCGGCTTCTTTCTGCCGTCATCCACGTTTCCAGTCTCTTCACTCATGAGAGATTTGTACTGCCTCTTGCATGGTCCTTATAGTTGTAAGGTGCCTAGATGTGGGATTAAATAAATTTTATGCCACCAGCATCTTTCCGCCCAACCTCGCTACCTAACGTTTCTTTCGAACTCGTTTTAGATTTTCTTATTGTTATGATCAACAAGCCGGCTAATTATCCTGGGATTTGCGTCAAATTTCAGCTTTTATAACATCGCTTGGTTCCAAAACCCAACTAGTATCGTTCGGAGGTGCTGCCTTGGGAAGTCCGTCGCCCGCGTAGCCAGAATGGAGTTACTCGATTGCCGTACTTGGAGAAGGGTGGAAAGGTTACGGAGTATATACCGGTAATATACTCTACAGTAGATTGGTAGTCACCTAATTCACTTCCTCGGTCGGTCTAGCCGCAGCTAGGCATCACACTATCCAGGAAGCGACGCAAGCATATGTGACGTGCCGCCTGCCCTTGCAAACGTGGTGATTGGCTTTCGCCATACACTTGATGGCACGAGTGCTCACTTCGGGTAATAGTAGGCGCAAAGCCGTCCTGATAGAGGTGTGTGATAGTTCAGTAGC